ATGTGACGTCAAGCAATGTTTTGGATTTCTTTGTGAACGAGTTCCTCCATGAAATTCTTATGACCGTTTCATGTAACGCATTTCACAATTTTTTTTGAAGGAATATTACTCAATCATTTTGTAATTTCATAGAGACATGAATTTTATGACTTGTCTATTTTATGGTAACTTTAGACATCTTTAGAATTTGTGACTTAGAATTGCAAAGTTGGATGTAAACTATGTATGAAGTTATATCATTAACCTTTGAACCAATAAATTTGAATGAATAATGTGAATATTGAATTTGGATTTTGATATTATACATCTTTCATAATTCGAACCTTCTCAACAATTTAAATTTACACTTGGGAATTGGTTTGAGCTTGTTCTTTTGAACCTTGTAGTCTTGAACTCGTGTTGCATTTTTTAGAATGAGCTTATGTAAATTTTTCAATTTGAATTTGTAAACTTGTTAGGAGGATAATGATTTGAGCTTATCATGAACATCTTGGAATTTCTTAGAATTATCATAATGACTTGCGAGGATGAATTTGAATTGAATGGTGGTGAATTTTGATCATATAAACCCATAACATGGAACTTTTTGATTGGATTTTGAATTTAAGCATTGATAAATCATCTGAGGACCTCTTATAACTTGAACCTCCGAGTTTGCACTCGAATGGATTTATGATTAGAAACTTGAATAGGTGTAAGAACATTGAGCTTACACAATTGTATCCTAAATTTTGAATCGGTTCCACAAACTCATATCATAAGCAAAACCCTAAAATAAACGAAGATCTTGAGCAACACCTTCACTATTTAAAGCTCAAGCAAAACACGCAAGACAACCCTTTTTTTTTAGCAAAATAAATGCCCGAGAATCTAACATTACTTGAAACATTATTGAATTCACAAGTTTGTTATCTCCCGCCTTCAGTTTGATCACAAATCAAACAAATTTCTCTTGATATATTTATAGAAACATCTTGCTTTCGTGAAGCTTCAAGTAAACCTTTAGACTATGATAAGCCTCATGTGAATCATGCTTTGAGGAGTCTTTGGGAATATGAATACCATTTGTAATTCGTCTTGCCATGAAGTTACAACTAATCTTTAAATGACTATGCTCAAAACCAGAGGGTAGAGAACCCTAATCCTCCTTGGGGGAAACGTCTGAGAAATCTTGGAGAGAAATAAATGACTTAGTACCGACTAAGGGACCATAAGAATAAGGACGCATCCCTTCTTTAGTGTTACAGAATTCAACACAAATTGCAAGGAACTAGAATCCGAATGAGCCTTACTGACCTTTGAATCTTCTTTAGCAACCCTAATTTCACAAATAAAATAAATAAACACTAACAATATGGTTAGCTATGCATGGATGGTTGACCTAGATGATAAGCAACATATCAAGGAATCTAAGAGTAAAATTTGGGGTATAACAGTACCCTAAGTATGTCTTATCCCCATCATAGTTTTCCTCTCTCTCTCTCTCTCTCTCTCTCTCTCTCTCTCTCTCTCTCTCTCTCTCTCTCTCTCTCTCTCTCTATCATACTTTTTCCCCAATCCCTAAACAAATAATGTAAAGCCTAATATGTGTCACACCCATAATCCAAGACACCATCAGAGCATGAATGATGGATTGGGATTCCACTGTCATAGAGTTTGGGTAATCTTGCTGCTACTAAGGGACTTTTGCTTCAATCACTCCATTCTTGTTCTGAATAATAGTGCCCATGTTACAATCTACTTCAACAACCATGTTTGCATCCGGGCTAACGCAGAAGGTTGCTTCTTTAATGTTAAAATGCGTCAACCCTGGTCAGTTCGTGTTTTGATTTTTCTTTTTCACGATGTGTTGCATGCTTTTAATTCTTCCTTTCAAGTTGTCCTCTGATCTTTTAGTTGAGTCACTTTTCTTCATCTTTGCATGATGCATGGTCTTAATGTGTTTCGAGTTATCCTCTAACATTTTCTATTATACACCATTTATAGGAGTCTCCAATGTTCCATCATTTGTATCATCTTCATCGTCATAGTAATAATCTCTAATATCATTATCGTCATTGGTCTTACCATGGTTTGTTGCTGGAGTCCCGATATGTACCTCCCTTTGTCCTTGTTCATATGGATCTCATCTTGCATGTTTCCCTTTCTGTTGTTTTTTGTAATACCCAATTTTTATTTTTATAGTATTAATATTATTTTACTATTATCGTTACTATTTTTAATTATTTTATTTGGGTGTTGGGTATTTTAAATAATTATTTGAGTGTTTTAATTAATTAATTAATTATATTTATTTAATTTGTGATGATGATCAAGTTTATTATAAAACTAGAGAATTATGTTATTTTAATTAAATTAGTGAAATATTTAATTTAAATCATAATTAAATGGGAAGTAGAGTTTTGGAAAATAGAAAGAATAAGGGTGTAAGGAGAATTGAGGGGTGAGAAGAGAAGGGATCAAATTATGGTGAATAAATAGATAAGTTGAGGTGGGCTTGAGGGGGAGAGTGAAAATTTTAGAAAAGAGGGAAAAAGGTAGACCTTTGGATGGAGTGGAGAGAATACCCAAAAGGAAAAAGTGTACATCGATCTGCAAATTCGAGGTAAGGGGGAACTATTCACTATTGGGTGTATTTGCATAAAGGATAGAGAGAGATCCTCACCTTCTTCCTTATTGTTTCCATTTTCTCCGTTGACGAGTTTTACGGATGTGGAGAAATTTTGTGCAAAAACTTTCTCTTAATTACTGTGATAGATGATAATGTCGTACTAGGTTGATTCTTGATTTTTGTCTAAATCTGTATGCCAAATCTTGAGTTTTTATATTCACGAGTATGGTTGATAAGTTAGAATTCAAATGTGGGACATACCTGTTAGACGAAGGAAACTTATCTAGAGGAAGGTGGATAGATCCAAAGTTTTAAAAAAGCTTTATAAAAACAGTTATGAAACATTTAACGGCTAGCGGAAGTGACCTAGGTCAAATGTTTAAACCGAACCATTATCGAAAAGCTTGGGTATGCGTATATGAAACCAATTGATGATAATTAAAGACAAATCTATCGATATGCCTTTAACAACAATCACTTGAATTCTACACAAAAATTAAAGTCTATTTCCAATGATAAAATAAACAATAACGCAATTGAGACAAATTATCAAACACCATGTGTGCAATCAATTTCACTTAGAAGTTTGTATGGTTTTATTTATTTTCAAATCCAGCAAAAATCTAATATATTGTGATTAACTCAAAAAAATATTTTTCAAAAGGTTTAACCAAACATATTGATTGCACAATTGAAGAATTCAACAATTTGCAAATAAAAATAAGAGAGAGAGAGAGTACACAAGGATTTGTTTAGGCTGTTCCCAAATTGGCCTACCTATGGTGAAATTGGTGAAAATAGAACTCAAATTACTTAAATAAGAGTTTGAAAATTACAAAGGGACCCAATAATGTTGGCGATATTACTCAAACAAACACAAATGTAAAAAGAGTGTGTAAATGTCTAGGTGTTGCGCTGAAAGCACTTTTCCCCTGCACACTATGAGATTGAGGCTATATTTTATATATATATATATATATATATATATATATATATATATATATATATATATATATATATATATATATATATATATATATATATATATATATATATATATATATATATATATATATATATATATATATATATATATATATATATATATATATATATATATATATATATATATATATATATATATATATATATATATATATATATATATATATATATATATATATATATATATATATATATATATATATATATATATATATATATATATATATATATATATATATATATATATATATATATATATATATATATATATATATATATATATATATATATATATATATATATATATATATATTTGTGTGTGTGTGTGTGTGTGTGATTATATCGGTCAGTGCTCATACAACATACATGGAAATCATATAATATTTTGAATGCGATAGGGGTGAGCTAAAGTCGATCTTGTGCAAATTAAAAGAGATCAACCCAACTTTGCTGACTCAGCTATAACTCATATCATACACTAACAAACCAACATACATGAGAGTTAAAGACAATAAAGTCACGTATGACTTTTTAACTGGTCTCAAAAAGCATCTCTCCCCGACGTGACTCATGCTTGAGGGACTGTGTGCGTGTTCTACTTATCGTTAGGACTCGCGGAAGTATTTAGTCAGTAAGTGCCTCATGCTTGGGGGATTATGTACCTTAAAATCCATTTTGGACTGAGAGACTTAAATAGCATGATTAAGAGCACAAATCAAGAGTGTAGGTCGGGTGAACTATCAAGAGGTCATCCAAGAGTATTAAGAGCCTACCAAAGTATCAAGACACACTCAGGAGTATCAAGAGCTCCTCTAAAGTATTGAGTGCTCTTCCATGATTGTCACGATCTCGCCGTAAACAACCAATAGCTCATCAAATATTGTCAAGAACTTGCCTCTGATTATCAAGAGCTTGCCCAATATATCAAGAGGCCACCATAGGTTGAAAATTCACATGTCATAGTGAGGTCACATCAACCCGCTTCAAGGATTGAATCAGCCTTTGCAACCATAAATTAATATAAGAGGAATATTCTCACTTCTCACTTAAAAGCATATATAGCGCATTTTTTATAAATTGGTAACAATATGCAGAAAAATTGAGCAATAATGTTCGATCCCATACCCCAATAAGAATTAAATACAGAGGAACATATAGAAATTATATAAATGGATGATTCCCAAAGGAAATATGGGGTAGGAATATCATTCACGAATTGACTGAGTTTCAGTGGTCCTACGCCAATTGAATAACAATAATGTACTTTTACAAATACAATCTTTATTGATTTAATTCCAACACTTATGTATATTCTTCTAATAAAAGCCACAATAGAATGCAAAATGAATTGGAAAAAGGATATCTAATAAGAGACAATGATGAATTATTTCTTGGGTTTTGGTCCATAAAGTTGTATCTCTCTTTTATTTAGGAGTTGTATTGGTCTGACATTCCTCTCTGCATGCTGCATAGAAAATGAAAATTAGGTTTCATGTTTTATTTTCTAAATGAAAATGCTTTTAAGGTAAAAAAAAACAAGTGAAATCGCTAAATATGATTAAATATAATTTAATAGTGCATTGCAAAAAAAAAAGCAAATTATAAAACTTACATCATGTACAGCCTCTCTAAATAATTTAATTTGTGCTCTTGACACACTTCTTATCTGATAAACATCCATGTATAAAGGTTCAGTGAATCAAACAATAAAATGGAAAAACATACATATTGATTATATAATGAGTATTGAGTAGTACCTTTCTATCAATAGTCCATATGACACCTTCAGTGCAAGGAGGAATTGTGAGAGAACCTATATATCTATAATATTTCTTTCCATCAAATTTGATTTTGAAAGGCTCAATCACTCCAATACTCCTTTCTGCTTCAATGTCCACCATGCCTTTTATGTATTTTGACAACTGAAACCGTAGCAAATATATATAATTATTTATATAGTAAATATGCAGTTCATAAGAGTTGTGAAAAATAATGTTATGTTACCTTGGTGAGAAGAGGGTCTGGTCGACCCATCTTATATAGAAGCCCAACAACAGCTATCTTGCTTTTACCTTTTCTTTTTGAGCTTTCATGAACCATATGTACCTCCATGTCATACCTAATTTATATTTCAGTCCAAAACAAAAAAAAAATCTAAACTTATCACATAATTAATGTTTCAAAAATAGATTCGACTATCTATCCCACAAAATTACGATGTCAAGAGATTAATAGTCGAACTAGAGAATTAATATAGGCTCTATGTTTGACATAGATTAAAACAAATGACTAAGTCATATAATTTTATCTTGATAACAAAGTCGTATATAAATTAAATCAGTTTAAAACGAATGACCTAACAACTAAAAAATTCTAAAAATATCATGATACCAAAAATATGTCAAAAATATTACACTAAATTAATGTTTCATATCTATTAAACTTTTTTAAAATGATTTATTTTCAAGAACAGATAAATGAATATTGTGAAGCAAAGACAAACCTTCTTCCATTGATGGTATGTTCAGAAGGTGAGTGCCAATGAGCTTGATGTAGAAAATAATTTGTCCCATTAATATTCATTGATCCTGCATCTCCCTCCCATTTCACCTGCAATTATTTATAAACAAATTTATTCCTATTGAAAAAATCTTAATGATGTTTAAGAAGAAAAAATGATTATCAATGAAGAGATGAAACAAAATTTAGGGTGACTAATTACCTGAATATCATGACCTCGATTTTTTAATGTAGCATTTTGTGCTTTATAATTCTTCTTTAATTTTCCTAAGTTTGAAACTCTCCTCACTCTATGATTTGACATATCAATTGGAGATTGCATTCTTCCATTCTTACATGCTTTCCATTCCTTCTTCAAATCTCCCCAGTGTGAAGGTCCCTTTTTACTCCCTTTTATGTAATCAAATTCATGCTCATCCTCTGCACAAAATTACTTAAATTATACAACTATATATGAAATTAGTGATGCGGAAAAATAACATATGATTTTGCTTACCAACTTCTTCTGCAATGGTCCATGTTGTTGTTGAAAGTAGTAGGATAGTTCCTAGTATCAACGGATAAGAAAGGAACTTAGTGAGTAATTTTTGGTGCTTCATGATGATGGTATAAGACAAATACAATGGAATATTTGGACTTTGAAAATATTAATGAATATTGAAAGATATATATAGAGAACTATGTTGAAATATTTTATTACATGATTATCTTTTATTATTCATTCAAATCTTTTAATCCAAATATTAGGTAGATATCTTTATTTATTTAAATTACCTATTTATCAATAAGAATTATTATAATAATTACTGGTCAAATCAATTAATAAGTCAAATTCTTAATTTAGTAATTAATTGCATATTTACTAAATTAATTATGCCAGTAATATTTAATATATTTGAATAATAATTGATTTCACTAATTTAAATTTTATACTTAAATTTTATTTAAAAAATAAGTCAAATAAATTTTTTTTATACATATTTGATAGGATAATGTTACATATCACTTTACTATATTAGTATTTAAAAGAATATCACAACACGCCTATTTTTTTATTTAAATAAACTAAAGAAATAAAATAAAGATATATTGTAGTGAGGCTCTCTATACTAAATATTGCTCTATAGTTTTATAAGTCAAACTACCATTCAAAATAATACTATATACACAAAACTAATATATCACTTACTACAAATATATTCGTTTAGGATATAAGTATTTGATTTTATTGGCATCCTAGCGATATGTATTCAAATAAATAGCCGCCAGTTATAACAATAAACAAAAACATAATTTTTTTATAAAAAATCATTAGCTATACAATTTGTCTAATATTTAAAAAATTAGTTAATAAGTTGAATTTAATCCATTCTTTTAAAAATATGGTTGGATTCAATTAATTAGATATATTTTTAAATTAACTGATCATAATTTATTATTTATTTTAAATTTAATGGTATTTTTATAATAAAATAATTAAAATCTATCCATACAATTATAAAAGTCAAATGATTTTAAGGAATTTTTTTTATAGTTTTTTTATAAAAATTAATAAAAATCATAATATTCTCGAGTAGATTCTAGACCTAATAACTATAAAACTATTTTAGGTTATTTTGATATGACATCATCCTACATCAATGAAATGTCTAATAATTAACTTTACTATCTTCCCACTCATAATAGAAGTAAACTCGCTCAAAACGATATATTTGAAAAGCCTTTTAAGAGTTTTTTTCCTCTAAAGTATTTTTTAAATATTTTTGAATTTAAACCTATTAAAAATCTCGATAAAAAAGAGTAGTTTTGAAGTATTAAAATGAAAAATGAGAATATGTTTTATTTAAAATGTTCTTATGTTTATTTTTAATAAACGAAACTCAATATATTAATCGAAAATAGCCTTAAAAGCTTTTTTTACATCAATATTTGGTTTAACAAGCTTAATACTGGTTTTTGGTGGGTAATAGTTAAAGTGTCCAATATGTGGCATAAATGGTTGTAGGCACTTTGAATGTAACCAATGTCACATGATTCAAACTCAGTTACGGTTTTCTTAATGTGTTTCAGTTGGTACCCTAATTATGTTTTATCCTTATCGTCGTTTTCCTCTCTCTCTCTCTCTCTCTCTCACACACACACACACACACACACACACACACACACTCACTCTTTCCACATTCCATAAACAAATTGTGTAAACCCTAATATGTGTCACGCCCATAATCCGAGCCACCATCAGAGCATGAATGATAGATTGGGATTCCACTGCCATGTGTTTTGGGTAACCTTTCTGCTGCCATCTGACTTTTGCTTCAATCCCTCCATTATTATTCTGAATAATAATGCCCATGTTACAATCTACTTCAACAGCCATGTTTGCATCCGGGCTAGGTTGCTCCTTCAATGTTATGATTCGTCAACCTTGGTGAGTTCATGTTTTGATTTTTCTTTTTCACGATGTGTTGCATGCTTTTGATTTTTCCTTTCAAGTTGTCATCTGATCTTTTAGTTGAGTCATTTTTCTTCATCTTTGATTGATGCATGGTCTTAATGTGTTTCGGGTTACCCTCTAACATTTTCTATTATTCACCGATTGTAGGAGTCTCCAATGTTCCATCATTTGTACCATCTTCATCGTCATAGTAATAATCTTTAATATCATTATCGTTATTGGTATTACCATGGGTTTGTTGCTGGAGTGTCGATATGTACTTCCCTTTGCCCTTGTTCATATACATATCCTCTTGCATGTTTCCCTTTTTGTAGTTTTTCGTAATACTCCAATTTTTACATTTATAGTATTAATATTATTTTACTATTATCGTTATTATTTTTAATTATTTTATTTGGGTGCTGGGTATTTTAAATAATCATTTGAGTGTTTTAATAAATTTATTTAATTTGTTGGGATGATCAAGTTTATTAGTAAAATTTGAGAATTATGTTATTTTAATTAAATTAGATAAATATTTAATTTAAATAATAATATAATGGGAAATAGAGTTTTGGAAAATAGAAAGAGTAAGGGTGTAAGGAGAATTGAGGGGTGAGAAGAGAATGGATCAAATTATGGTGAATAAATAGATTAGTTGAGGGTAGCTTGAGGGGGAGCGTGAAATTTTTTTAAAAGAGGCAAAGAGGCAAAACTTTGGATGGAGCGGAGAGAAAACCTAAAAGGAAAAAGTTTTCATCGATCTGCAAATTCGAGGTAAGGGGGAACTATTCACTATTTGGTGTGTCGCTACTGCGAAAATCGGCGCCGGCTGAACAGAAGAGTCGCCACCGTGCGTTATTTATCCCACGGGAGGGAAAGGAAACGCTCAGAGTAAACCTCGCACAACACGGGAAAGGTATGGTCATCGCAACCAAAACCTGGATTCGGGAGTCGGTTACGCAAGGGGAAGGTATTAGCACCCCTCACGTCCGTCGTACTCGACGGGATCCACGCTTGTTTTCGGGTATGGATTGTTATTCTGTCTAAACTATAGGGTCAGGGGTTAAAAGAAAATAAAATGAAAATAAAAATGACTCGGCAAAGTATCGCACTTTATGCCTACGTATTCCCGCCTGGAACGAGAAATCAGAGTCAACGTAGTTCGCCTACCTACGGGAAAGGAGGGGAAGGTTGCTCGCTAGGATATCGCATCCTATGCCTACGTACTTTCATACAGCATGAAAGATCAGAGCAAACGTAGTTCGGGCCATGTATGACACAAGCTTGTCCTTGATTGATTTTATTCCTTCTGAAAAAGGGTTTTCTGATTAACAGTCCCGGCGGACAAAAATGACGCTTTGATGAGTTCACATTCTTTTACGGAAGAAGTGTCTTTTATTGTGTTTGAAATCTTTACGTGTTTTTCTGTTTGTTTTGAGAAAGAAAGAGACAGAACTCTAACCTACGGTTGCGAAGGGAAACAAACTAACCTAATGTTATCATGCATGGGTTAAGACCTAGTGTCTATCATGCTCCTCTCTTGCACAGAGAGAAACAGAGATCCTACGGGATAGGCAGAAACAGAAACAATAACAGATATATACAGTAAAGCAGTAAAATGCATGGATGCAACAATACAAGCGAGGCAAGGGAGTCCCACTCAACCTCGAACCTAGAAAACAATAGGCAAAAGTGAACAGACTTCACTTTCAACCCAGCAGGGTAGACAGCAAACAATACAGTCCAGAAAACCAATCAATACATCAGCAATAAAACAACAGCAAAAGAAACAGCATCAGCAGCTCTAAATCAACATCTGGCTCCAAGTAATCTCCAATCAGCTACAGGCTTCAACAGGCATCAATCTCCATCTTCATGACCTTCAGGCAAGGGCTTTGGTCATCAGTCTTCTATCTGCAATGGCTTTTCTTCAAGCTCAAACCTCCAGGATGAGGGATCAGTCACAAGAGTGAAGTGAGTAAATGTTAGGCAGTTAATTACCTACCAAGGGTGGTTCATCAACTGTTAACATTAAACAGAAAGTTTCCTCTCAAAAGTTCTATCTTTCAAATATATTCACTGATCCTTCCAAAGGAAGGAGGTGGATATTTGAAAGAGACTTTGAATCATAGAGAAAGGATGGATGCAGACAAGGCATTCCATGTTTGAGAAACAAGCTTTCTAATCTAGAGCTCTGCCTAGCTCCTGAACCCTAGTCTCCTCAGCAGCTGCTAGCAAGAACCTCCTATCCAACTCTGGCAGTTGGTCTTCAACCTCTTGATCTCCAATGGTCTTCATCTCCTCAAGTCTTCAGCTTCCCCAGGGCCCCAGACAAACCCAATACCCAAACAAGCAAGCAATAAATCCCCAGAGGGCACACCACTCCAGACAATCAGATACACAGCACATCAATAGCAGTAGGGGAATCCTGACTTTTTCTAAGGGGTCTAATAGCTACCCATAGCCCCTATAGTCCCATAACTAATCTATTCAAACCCTAAGTCCTAAGGGAAATGAAATCAAACTCCTAAGTCATCACCTAAAACCCTAGTTTTGTTCATGATGTTCAAACCTATTTTAATCACCTAAAATTAAGTCCTAAAAATGGGAATTAAAATATTTCTACAAGCTCAATGTTTAATCTAAACAATATAAAAAGAATGAACAAAAAATATAGAAGCATGTAATAGAACAAAAATTATTAAAATGATGCATGAAATGAACTATTTAAAAATGGCATTTATTTAGAAAATATGGAAAAAATATGAAATAAAAATGAAAATGCAATTTTATTTTTCTATAATATTCTAGACATCCTAATGAAAATGATGTAAAAAGAATGGATTTAAAATGGATTTTAATGAATTTGTTATGAATTTCTAAAATGAATGAAAAATTAAAATGAATTAAAAAAACAATTAAACCAAATAAAATGAGGGAGGGGTGTGTTCAGCAAGCGCATTCAGTTAAAAATCCAGGATGGGCCAACAATAGGGGGTGTGGGTAGCGAATTGGTTAAGCCCAGAAAGCACTCAGAATTGATGAGACAAAAGAAGGACGCTGGGGGGTGAGAAAAGCAGTAGAATCACGTTGAAATTGGAATTGGGCCTAAAACTGGGGGTGGGGATAACAACATAACGCTCAGGCCCGCCCGTTTCAATT